TGATTCTTGTAATTTGGTTTTCTGCTTTCTTTGTTAAAAATCAAATTAACCAATGGTTTATTTATTTTATGTTTTTTCTTCATAAAACCAGCTCCTAATTTTATTTATTAATTCATTGACTCTTTTACTTTCAATTTTATTAATCTTTCCTTTGTTTTTCAGAATTTCTAGTTTGGTATTTAACTGGAATTTTTAATTTGTTCTTTTTCTAGTTTTTTTTTTAAGGTACATGTTCACTTCATTTATTTGCTTTCTGTCTTTTATTGATGTGTTTACAGATATATATTTTCAAGACTGGAATTTTAAAAGATCTCACACTGAAATAATGGGTTAAACTTAATAAGATGAAGCATAATAGAAATAAATGTAAAATCTACCACTTGAGTTCAAAAGCTGAAGTTCACCATTACAGACTAGGGTAGAGATGGATAGGAGCCACAAGTCAAGGTTGTGACATGGCAGGCAATAAAATCACTTAGATTGTAGGCTGAATTTAGCCAAGTCAAGCCAATAAGCTTTTATGAAGCGTTCACTATGTTCCAGGCACCATGGACTAATTAGCAGACATGTCGTTCATTTGTTTCAATCTGACCCTTTGTGACCCCATTTGGCATTTTCTTGACAAAGATACTGGAGTGGTTTGCCTTTTCCTTCTCTAGCTCATTTTACATGTGAGGAAACTGAGACAAACAGGGTGAAGTGACTTGCCCAGGGTCACACAGCTAGTAAGTGTCTGAGGCTGGATTTGAACTCAGGTCTTCCTGACTCCAGGACTGGTGCTCTTTCTACTGTGCCACCTACCTGGCCCTAATTTTAAAAAGCATAGTGTCCAAAGCATGGAAATTTTAATTCCATTTTTATTTGTTTTGGTTAGCTCACATGTAGAGTATTGTGACCAGCTTTAAGTGCCCTCATTTTAGAAAGGATAATGATGAACTGGAGGGTAACAAGAATAGAGAAGGATCTCAAATCTATACTGTATTAGTATTGATTTAAGGAGTTGGGGATATTTAGCCTAAGTAAGAGAAGAATCTAGACAGACATTAAATTGTTGTCCAGTATTTGAAGAAAAGTAGCCATGTAGAAGAGTAATTCGTCTTGTTTAACTTAGATCCAAAGGATTGAGTTTGGAGTAGTGGGTCTGGACAACAGCTGCCCCAAAGTGGAATGGATGTCCTCAGTAGCAAGGGAATGTCTCCCACGTCTGACTGGAGGTGCTTCATCATCAGAGGCTGCACAACCTCTTGTCAGGAACAGGGCAGGTCTCATGGCAGATTGGACAGTTCTATCCAAAGAAAGTCTTTTCTCACATCCCGAGAGTAAATATCAGTTCTCTGTTCTGTTATGCTAGTGCAAACTGTCGCCTCTGACATCAAAAGCATTATTTATCTCCCAGTGTGGGTGATATGTTTTGACTTGAGGGGGTCTCAAAGACTTTTCTGCCATCTCCAGCACCAACTAGAGCTGTTAATCCTAACTTAATCTTGCATATTTTATTTGCGTGCATCTGCCTCTAGCCTGACCCGGTTGTTATAATCTTTCCACCGTGTGTGTGTGTGTGTGTGTGTGTGTGAGAGAGAATTTCCCTTTCTGGGTCCCATTCGCTTCCTCCCTAGTTCGGTCTTCTACTTCATGAAGCCCCCAGGTGGTGATGGAGTTTGGCACTTTGGGACACCACCTTTTCAGCATTTGCAGCGTGGCTCCTGACAGCTTCTCAGTACAATCCGTCAGCCTCCCCAGAGCCCACGGCTGCCTGTGTGCCAGAGCCAGAAGGGTCGGTGTTGTCCTTTCAGTCATCTCACAGCCAGAAGCTTTGCTGAGTAGGGGATGGTGGGGACTCTATTGTTGGCTCACCTCAGTTGGCGCTTTATGAGCTATACTTTGAGGCAGTTATTTAATTTGGGGCAATTAATTATAGGTGTTCCTTGGTGCACAATCTTTGCCACATCTTGACTGAATTGTAAAGCAGAAGAATTCTAATGTGTTGAGGAAGTATTTCTGCATCCACCTGGACCCTGGGCTTGTCAGCAAGGGGACAAGGCCTTTTCACAAAGAGCTTGTCCTTTTGTGACCTTGCACGCTTCAAGCAGTTATCCTTTTCTTTTTTTAATCCTCAACTTCTGGAGGTGAGAAGTCATGTACTTGTTTCACTCTCATCTCTGTATACTCTGCTTACCCCTGAAGTGAAAGCTGCTCTCAATTCCACAGTAACAAAAGGAAACATTTTATGATTTCCATTTCTGATAAAGGACAATTCTATTTCTTTCACACACACACACACACACACACACACACACACACACACTCTTTGTGCAGCTAGGTGGCACAATGCATAAGCTCAGGAAGTCAGGAAGACCTGAGTTGAAATGTGGCCTCAGACACTTACAAGCTGTGTGTCTCTGGGCAAGTCACTTAACTTTTGTCTACCTCAGTTTCTTCAACTGTAAAATATGGATGATGATAATAGCACCTACCTCCCAAGGTAGTAGTGAGCTTGAAAGAAGATAGTTGTAAAGTGCTTTGCAAGCCTTAAAACACTGTATAAAACTTAGCCATCATCATCATTATTATCATTATCATTATCATCAATCTGTTGACCAGCACAGCCATTATTTATCAAGTAGGTTAAGGATCATAACAATATACTATAAAGTTATTGGCTCCTTATATATCTAGATTTCATAACCTGGAGTCTGTGGATAGATTACAGTGAATCTGAGAATTTGGATGGGAAAAAATTTACACCTTTATTTTCATTAACTTCAAAATGAAATTTAACATTTCCTTCAGTCATTTAAAAACATTATTCTGAGAATGGGTCCAGAGGCTTTATAAATTACCCGAAGGGTTTATGACCCAACAAAGGTTAGGAATTTCTGCTTTAGGTGAAAACTAGAAACACTCATCATAACTCTATGGTTCTCAAAACTTGTCTATTCTATAAGAGGACTTTTGCAATATTCACTCCCTCCAGTCAGTCCTCTACCTTAAAAATAAAAGGTAAGGAATTACAACATTGCTGATAAGGGAATATAGGACAGTAAGGGGTAGTAGCATCTGATCTCTTTCTAATCTAAAATACAATTGTGGTTTTATAAGGTTGTGCTAACTAGGATGAAGGAAAGGTAATGATGTAGAAAAGTAGGCTGAGAGTTATTGATAAGGGGTGGCCAGAACCTTCATCTCCAGCTGCCTTCAAGGTATCTTTCCCTGGATTGCTTACTGGCAGTGCAGACTCATGTTCAAAGTGAAGCTCTGTATCTTGCTGGAGAAACTTGTTCTTCTTTCTGACTTGACTGTTTCCCATAGTGGCACCATCCGTCATCCTCTTGCCTAGGTCAGGGGTAGGGAACCTGTGGCCTTGAGGCCACGCATGGCCCTCTAGATCCTCAAGTGTGGCCCTTTGACTGAATCCAAACTTCACAGAACAACTCCTTTTATTAAGAAGATTTGTTCTGTGAAGTTTGAATTTAAAGGACTGCACTTGAGGACCTAGAAGGCCACATATGGCCTCAAGGCCACAGGTTCCCCACCCCTGCTCTAGGCAAATGAGCTGTTGCTATAGTACTCTGATAGGGAAGTAGTCTGGCTGAGATTGATTTGAAAGGTTTTTCTTGCTGTTAAATTGTTTCAGTCTGTCCTACCCTTCAAGACGCCATTTGGGGTTTTCTTGGCAAAGATAACTGGAGTGGTTTGCCATTTCTTTCTCCACCTCGAAACTGAAGCAAACAGGGTTAAGTGACTTGCCAAGGGTCACACAGCTAGTAAGTATCTGAGGCCAGATTTGAACCAGGAAGACGAATGCTCCATCCACTGTGCCACCTAGGTGCCCTAACTTAGAACGTACTGAGCTTGAAAGAAAGAAAGTGCTAGAGAACTTGCTAGGCAAGAAAGTCCTGAAGCACTCCATTTTGTTATTTATGGCACTTTCAGGTTGTCTTGGCTTGGTCTAGTCTGTGGCAATACTAACTTTATAAATATCTCCATGCACGTTCTCTGCCTTTGTGCCTTAATAACCTTAAATGTTTCTTCAGACTCCACTGAGCTGAATTGAGACTTTATATTTAGCTCCAGTATGACTTCTCATGCTTTCATTTGTTTTTCTCTAAAAGTATTGTGCCTAATTTTAAGATTCTGATTTTATTTAAGAAGCTTTTTTAACATGAAAGATACTATTTCATTTTAAAATCAAAGGAGAAAGAGAAGATCTGACAGGTAGTTCAAGTTAATTCTTTATTACTTTGACAATTTAGGAGCTTTTGGATAAATAGTTATAGAGAAGAGGGGAAGAATATTGGACGTACTCAATACAGATACTGTCTCCTACAGTCACTCAACATTTATTAGGTACTTACTACATGCTATGCACTCTGCCAGGTGCTGGGCACAAGAAAAAATTAAACTCCCTACCCTTAAAAAACTTACTTTTTTTTAAGAGGAGAAAATGTATACAAAATAAATATAAGGTCATTTGGGTACTTCTGTTGTAGCTTTGGAGATGAGGAGCTATCAGCAACAATCTCTTCCTTAGCTTTTTGTTAACTAGAGAATCCAGATAAGTGCCCCCATTAAGTCTTCCTTGGCGGATAGAAATTTTCATCATATGAATTAGAGGTTAAAGATTAGATGACATATTAAAGCTTGATATTTAGAAAATTTCCTTTCAGTTTTTAGGCTTTTCCCCAAATCATTGTGTCATCCTGGGCAAGACTTTTATCATGTAACATGCTGCTAGAAACAACCCTAGACTTTGATGAAACATGGTACCCCCAGCATAATAACAGTTTATAAGAAGATGACAAAAAATGTGCCCCTTCCAATTTCTAGATAGATAGATAGGTAGAGATCCTCAGGAAAAGTTAATGTATCTGTATGTAAGGATTTTAATTATGAATTTTATTATTGCTATTTGGAATTTTAGCAAAAATATAGGAAAGATAATTAAAAATAGTAATAAATATAACAATTGTGTTTAACCCTTCTTTTCTTTTCTTTTTCAGGGTCTCAACATAATCTTCCATGTAGCTTTGGCACTCTTAAAGGTAAGTCTTTCTTTGAATTTTAAAACTGTATGGATTTTCTGCCTACCCATAAGACTAGAATGACCTAATATGAGTTTTATTTTCTAGAGCACAAGGTTAAAGAAAGAGTCCATTTGAAATATGGGTATTGTTGTTGTTGTTTTTCCTTTGGGATTATTGCTTTATTTGTGAATCAGTTGGAGGTGGGGGTGGGAAGTTAGGGAGGAATGTATGAAATCCTTGCAAATACATCATGAGGATAAATAAAGTGTTTCTTTTAATGGTGGTTGGACCTTGTGAGAAAACAATGAAATCTGTGCTGCTTCAAAACAATGCTAGTACTTTTAAGCTTTTTCTTGCTAAAATCAAGTCAGTAGAGATGACCTGAACATGTGTCATTAAATTACAGAGATGCTTCAAAAGTGTCCTGGATAGCAATGACCTACTGCAGTTCAATTTGAAGTAGTTTCTCTACTTATGGGAATAATTAGGAAATATATTAGAATTCAGTTATTATTACTTTTTGGAATTTCATAACAACAAATTCATACAGTACTAATGCTCTTACTTAAACAAGACATTTGCTATGAGATTGCAGGAAAGAGCCTCAGCAGTTTTTACCCTTCATCATTCTGTTACTGGAGTGGCAGCTATGGAGCCTTTGAGTCAAGGAGACTCGAATTTAGATCCTGTTTCACACATTTATGAACTCTGTGATTCTAGGCAAGTGACTAGATTTCCCTCCCCCTCAGTTTCCTCATCTGAAAAACAGGGATAATAATAGCACCTACCTCACAGGGTTGTTGGGAGAACCAAATGAGACAATGTGTGTAAAACGCTTTGCAGACCTTGAAGTGCTGTGTATTTGCTTGTCGATCATCATTCTCATTATCGTTGAAGGAGTTTTATTAAAAGACAAAGTGCTGATGGCCTCCCAGGCTCCACTTAGCTCTTCAGCCTCATGATCAATAAAACATACTGGACTCGATATCCTGGGAGATCCTCTCCAAAGCACCACTGATGCACTTGAAATAAAATGGTGATTTAATAGTATCATTTTCACTCACTTTCTCCTCTCTGCTGAGCCCCAGTTTGGAGAGTATTCTGTAGGCACTGGAGAGAAGGGCTCTCGTGGGCCCTCCTTCCATAAACGTTTTCCATGCTGTCCTCAGAACCCTAGTGTGCTAAGAGATGTGAATGGGGGGTGGGAGTGGGGATTAGTGTAAAAATGATAATGGTAATGGTATTTTCTCACCTAAAATACTTCACACTCGTTTCAGAGATCTGGGATTTTGTCATAGGGGATACTTCCTCCATCCGCTGAGGTTGTAACCTAAAGCTTTACAACTTGGTAGATGGTCTTTGACTAGAAAAATCATCACCTGAGACCAAGTAGTGGCCTCTGAATTTAGCTAGGGTAGTCTTTGGATGAAAAACACATTTAGGTCCTTGGTCCATATTCAGAATTTCTCCATAGCCTAATAAGACCTGCCAAATCTTGTGTTCTGCTGATATATCCTGCAAGAACCCAAGGTCAACTCTCTGCCACAGTAAGACATCAAAGAAGGACCTGAGTGCAGATCCTCTAAAATATTAAATATATTAAATAGTATATATATGTATATTCCAAAAGTTCTTATTACGCAAAGCATTTTTCTGACATGGAAATAGTCCTGATTTCTCCTTTTCCTCTAAATAGTCCCAGCCCTCCTCCTACTGGAAGGATGGGAGTGGGGGAGGAAGTTGGGATATATGACTTACATACCTATCACAAGAAGCTTTGTGGTGAGGTGAGAACTGAAGGAATAAAAAAAGAATAGACAATAAGATAACTAAAATGTAAGGAGAATACATTCTCTCATTCCTGGTACTGGGTTAGTATAGATTTTGAGAATCCTGGAGTTTATAATAATTGGCATGTATAGCACTCTACAGTATACATTACATAAATTATCTCATTTGAAACTCACGATAACTTGCGAAATGAGGTAGGTGATGTAGATATTTTTATCCCCTTCTCACAGATGAAGAAACTGATACACTTTGGGCATTTAGGTATTTTGCCCATGATCAGTCCTTACTATAAGGGTCCGTGGTAAGATATGAATCCCTGTTGCCAGTCCATCATGCCTTTCTCTCTGCTGTGCTGCCTCTTGAAGAAGTTCTACTGAATACAGAGGCTTACGATGGCTCGAGGGTTGTGTTCTTATATATTCCTGAGGCTGGCTGTGGACTTGCCTTCCCCTGCTTGTGAATACAGGGATAAAATTTACAGGGATGGTAAGACGTGCACAGACGTTATCCTGGGTCCCGTGGCTCCACAGAGTAAAAGGAGACACAAGTGCAGGGGCAGAAGTCCATGCGCAGAATACTGGCATAGGCCATGGCATAGCATATGTGGATATACATTACATCTGCAAGAAATTGTCCTGGTAACCTTAACTGTAGTTGTGAATAGGGCTCTTAGAGCAACCTTCATCCAGCCCATCTTCCAGATAGCCCACAAATTATTTTTGAGTGGATTTATAGAATATTTGAAGTATAATGTAAGTATGAAGGTCATTGATTTAGAGCTGAAAAGGACTTCAGAAATCATTTGATTTAACCCTCTCATTTTACAAATGAGGAAACTGAGGCCTACAAGAGTGAAATTATATACTCAAGGTCACATAGCTTGGAAGTGACACATCTGAGACTTTTTTTTTAATGTCAAAACTGTGGGGGTAAGGGACGTTCTTTGGTCACATTTTCATATAAAGGTACAGTGCTGTCCTGTTCTATTTTTGTATTTGGGTCCAAACATATTTCTTGCTAGAGAAAAAGGAAAGTAGGAGTGTTGTTTTCTGCTAAGAATGGTTGACTTAGAATAGTATTATTTAAAGGCACTTACTTTTTGAAAAGTGCTTGAATCGCGTGTTGGGCACTGAGACTGTCAAGTAAGGAAGAAGCTGTGGAATGGTGAGTAAGGATGATTCAGTGAAGGAGGTGGCATGAACAGTTAGCATCATTTAAGAGATATTAAGTGCCCCCTGGGTGGATTATATATATTTTTATATATATGTGTGTATATATACATATGTGTGTGTACATATATATATATATGTATGTATATATATATATATATGTATATATATATATATATATATATATATATATATACCTTGACTACTGAGTTTTCCTTTTAAAAGAAAAATAAGAACCCAACAGAACCTAGCAAATTTAATTTTTATTTGTTAGATCATTAAATATCCCAGCCTAATTAACTTAGAGTCACATATTCACTATGTATCCCATGAGCAATACTTTAAGGAGCTGTGATTGTTCAGTTCATATAATCTGTTCACTATTGTGGCCCTTCCATGATGTCACAGATTGTTTAATGAGCTGATGTGACTGAAAACAAAAACAGGGCGTCATTATTTGGGAGCTGCCATTCTGGGGATGAACCTGGTGTCCAAATTTAGGTAATCTGGACCTAGATAACAGTTGGAAAGATATTGGCAGACCTGTTCTCAGAGTCTTTCTGGTTGGTAAGACCTGCCAGAGGTTGGGTTCTGCTGGCGTAGCCCTTGAGAACATCATGCCATCATGAGGCATCACAGGACTGTTAGTGAGAAATTATACTATAATAGATTATCAAATAGGCAAGAGTCGATTGACCCTGATCATAGATGGGACTTCAAAATGGAATAGATGACTTCTAGTGCAACTTTAATAGCAAGTAGAAGGGTGAACTTGTAAGCCTACTCTGACTTGTTAGTAGAGGAACATAGGAACTTCTAGATAGTTCCCTCTGTATCTTATTCTATGGTTAATGGCTATGTGACCTTGGGCAAGTCATTTAACCTAAGTCTTCTCATCTGCACAGTGGAGATAATAATACTTATGCTACATACCTCATAGAGTTATTGTGAGGAAAGTAAGCCATGTATGTCTTCCAAAGAAAGTGACATGATGACATCCAGAATTCAGAGCTTAAAATAAATACCCTTTATAATATTTGAAAATCTTGGGAAAATGGAGAGTAATCCAATGAATGAAAAAGAGAATGCTAATCTTGGGGGAAAGCATGCAGCCCTGTTTGGCTAGAGCGTGCCTAAAGGGGATCTGTGTGAAGTGAGTCCGGAGAGGTAGACTAAAGCTAGATTGTGAAGGGCTTTAAATGCCAAGCAGAGTTTTTGTTCTGTCTTAGAAGTCATGTCATTGTTGTGGTTCAGTCGCTTAACCATATCTGACTCTTCATGACCCTGTGGACTATATTGTCCATGGGGTTTTCTTTATAAAGATACTGGAATGGTCTGCTATTTTCTTCTCCAGTGGATTAAGGCAAGCAGAAGTTAAGTGATGTGCCCAGGGTCACACTTTTTAAGGACAGATTTGAACTCAGTTCTTCCTGACTGCAGGCCCAGTGCTCTATCCACTGAGCCCACCCAGCTTCTATTACCCTTAGAGGTAATAGAGAGCCACTGAATATTCTGCAGAAGGGGAGTGACAGCTTTGCTTTATGAATATCAGTTTATCAAATGTATGGAGAATGAATTAAAGACCTGAAGCAGGAAGAGCAGTTAGGAAGATATTTTAGTAATCCAGGCAAACAAGGTTAAAGGCCCGAACTAGGCTGGTATTGGAGAGAAGGGGGTGAATTTGAGAGTTGCTGTGGATGAATATATACAAATGTGTATATCCATATACATACATACATCTTTACTTAGTGATTAAACTGAAAAATACTTTTTTTTCTCTCCCAGTGTCCTATATGTGTATGAATCAGAATTGAGTGGTACATTGGTTTATTTATAAACCTAGGAATCATCTGTCTTTCATAGATGTGGCACTTAAATGCTGTAGTCCCTACTATTTCATTTCGTTTCATAAGGTTCTGTCCTTTTGAGCTTTATTTCTTTATATCCCCACTACCCTTCTTGTCCTTGCTATCACCTGAATCACATACTTAGTCATTTGGGGGATTTCAACAGAAGAGGAAAAAACGGAGGCTCTGACATTTAGTAAAAATGATGATT